GTCGGCGCCCCACCCCGCCCCGGTCTCCGCGGTGGTTAGCGGCGCGGGGCCGGGGCTGCGAGGCTCCTCCTCTTCCCCCTCGCAGGCGTTATAGCTACGAGCGGCCCGGCGGGTGTCCGTCTGTCCCGCAGCCTCAGGGCTGTCTGGCCAACGCGGGCCGGCCGACACCGCCGCCCCGTTGCCGTAGAGCGACGGGCCAGAAGCGGGTAGGGGATGTGCCAAACGGCAGAGGCGGATATGGTGTCCGTGATACCGAAGTGGTATCTTGACGCCCAGGTTCCCAGCTGACGCCCCGTGACAGTGAGACCCGGTGTCTCGTTCTGCGGCCTCTTGGCACGAACTGCCGTAGGCAGGGAGGGTGCGGGCCCGCCGGGGTGCGGAGCTGCCGCGGCTGCGGCCGCGGGAAACGGGGGGTTTGCGTCGGCCTTAGCTCACCTGTGTACGAGATACGCGGCCGATCTGTGAAAGATTTGCTGGTAGCAAGGAACGATTTGGAAATATGACGGCATACCCTGATCTGGCTTTGGCTGGTAAAAACACGAAACGGGTCATACGTTCAGTTTGTACATCTGCACAGAGCCACCCTGCCTTATCTACTGAATCCTTTAGAACTAAAAACGCCTTAGCTTTATCAGATACAGCAGTACTTTTTTTTTTTTTCTGGTTTTCTGCTTTTTTTAAAGCAGGAGTGCATTTCTTGGCACTTGGCGTGGGCCTTTTGTGCTGAAGCTAGCTAGTAGCATTACATTAACATGCCACTTTTGCCTAACTTTGTTACCATGTCAGTGAGTTTTACTGATTAGTTACAGGTTGTGAAATAAGTAACTCGCATTTCTTACATTAATAGCTAAATTTTGAGACAAATACCAAGAGCACAGAGAACCCACGAAGCTGTAAAAACAGTGAAGGGTTTTTTCCCTGTTCTGCTTTTTTCACTGCAGTTTGTATGCTGTAGACTGCTGCCTTGTAAGAGTGTTTGCAAGCATCACTGCTGACAGTGAAGTGCAGGGGACAGGAAATTTGCAGTGCATGACTACTAACTAACTCCCCTCTGGATAAAGAGAAACTCCTACCAGTTCTTTCAACGTAGAGACTGTAGTACTGGACTGCAGTATTCAGTTTCCACACAGAGATAAGCAACCCTTTCATTATGAATTACAGTTCAGTTTGTCACAGCTATCCTTTTGAACTAACTAAAAAACCCCTAAATTTTGCTTAGGTAAATTCTTGTTCATAAAAATGATAACTCAGCTTCTCAAAGTCAGTGTTTATTTGTCAAAGTCCTACCACTACTATGCGAGGCCAGCCTGTAACTTTTGTTTCCAAAATGAGCAAACAGGTTTCCAGATGCCTAGATCAGACCCACTTAAAAAGCTTCAGCCCTTAAAAATAACCCATGGAAGAAAGTTCCGTTAAGAGAACAATGTTGTAGAGAAGTGGTAATAGAGAAAGAAATGCTAAAAGTCTTAACTGGAGAAAATAATGACTTGTGTTAAAATAATTGCATCCCAAAACCAAACTGTGACTACCCTTCCTAAGTTTCCAAAACTACACAATGGATGTTCAAGTAGTACACGTAGCTGCTGAGGAACTCCAGTGACTGATGGAACTAATATTATGATTTGGTACATAAAATTGCAGATATTATGAACAGTGTAATGTATTGCGAGTGACTGGATGCCTCCATACTTACCCTATGCCACCTCAGTGCACACATTAAATTTTGTAATGACATCATTCAAGGGCCTGGCAGCAGATTGACTTCTTTGCATGGACCTTGTAAATTTTTCTAATGCCAAATAATAGATTGTTGTTAAGGGAGGCGGCATGAGAGAAGGAAGAGGTGAGCTGATGCAACTGCTGATATTTTAACTGCTTTAAACAATAGTGTTTCATGTAGTAATAACAATGACCAAAAAGAGAGAAGTGATTTGTCTGTCCAGATCCTGCTACTGGAAGAGGAAACATGTACAGCCCTAAGGGGCTTAAAGCTCACTGCTTTTCAGTACATAGTCATACGTATTAAACTAATAGTTCGTGTAACATTATGTAAAAACAGTTCTGAAGTAATCATCTGAGCTATTGTATCTTAACAATATGTAATGTTTGCTCTTGATAGTATTTTGATGCTATGCTACTAGCTTAATGTATAAAAGCATTAGTATTTTAGTGTTAATATAGAAACAATAAAAAGTTCTCTCTGAGAGGTAAAGTGCCAAGACAGTGAAATATTATGCAACCTACAATCAGATCAAATCCTACTTATTATTACAACAAAACATACCTTTTATTACACAGCATAATACAGAAATAGTGAAAGGATAGGGAGCACAAATTCAATAGAAAACAAGGAAAAAGGACCCATGTTCTATCCAGCTAGTTCAACTCCAGAAGGACATCATAATTCAGGAGTTTGAGGATAATAAACTCTTTCAGAAATAAGAAGTAGAACAACTAACTCTGAGGTGGGAAAATCCTACATTTCTCAAACTGAAACAAAACACAAATACACAATAAATGAACAAGAAAGAAGGTACTTAGGCTCTCTGAAGTGTGGTTCAGCCATTTCTAGTGATATTCCAAAGTTCAAACCAGAAAACTTTGAGACAGTGATGGCCTTTAGGTAGCTAATAGCAAATACTTAACCACACTGCGAGTAACTTTATTGTATGTTGTAATATGGACTTATATAATAACTTAGCAAAAGTTATCCTTTATCTAAGTGTTTATTATTACATTTCCCAAGTTTTGCTTTATATCAAATAGATATATCAAGCCAATAAAATTGCTTATGTTTATAGCTCACTTGAGGCCAAATACTAAATATTCCAGGTGGAAGGAAACAGAATGAGGTGAGCATGCCCGTAACAAAGATAAAGTCCCATCTTGTCCTGTGAAGGTGATGGAAGAAAAGTGGTTACTATAAGCAGGTCCATCTTCAGTGACGTAGCTCTTTACTGCTCAGCTTAAAACTTCATGTAGTCAATTGAGTTCAGTAGAATTACATTGCTGGAGAATGTATGTGATGGCTAGATCCACAACGTGACACAGTGTTGCCCTTTCTATCTGTTCAGGTGCCCTGCGCCAGAAAGGGACCTTGAGCCCTGCGGTGGGTTCGGGATGTCTCTACTACAGGTAGGGCAGATTTAGGCACTAGAAAATGAGATGCATGTCCAGAGATGAGGGAGTGGCTGTAGGAAAAGTCAAGGACAGGATGCCCCTTGATGGTGATATAAATGCTTAGATGTAAAGGTCAGAGGAACAGCAGCCTCCATTTGCAATTCCCTCTCTCCTGTAATTAGGCACCTTTGCCCTTTAAAAAAGAAAAAAAAAGCAAGGGGTCTGTTGGTAAAGATGTGATATTCCGTATCTGTGGTGAGCAGGACTAGGGAAGTGATCATCCCCCTGTACTCGGCACTGGTGAGGCCCCACCTCGAGTACTGTGTTCAGTTTTGGGCCCCTCACTACAAGAAGGACATTGAGGTGTTGGAACGTGTCCAGAGAAGGGCTACAAAGCTGGTGAGGGGTCTGGAGGACAAGTCTTGTGAGGAACGACTGAGGGAACTGGGGTTGTTTATCCTGGAGAAAAGGAGGCTGAGGGGAGACCTTATTGCTCTCTACAACTATCTGAAAGGAGGTTGTAGTGAGGAGGGGGCTGACCTCCCTGGTGACAAGTGATAGGACGAGAGGAAATGGATTCAAGTTATGTCAGGGGAGATTTAGTTTGGATATTAGGAAACATTTTTTCACTAAAAGGATTATTAGACATTGGAATAGGCTGCCCAGGGAGGTGGTGGATTTGCCATTCCTGGAGGTGTTTAAAAAAAAGGGTAGATGTGATGCTTAGGGACATGGTTTAGAGGTGTTTTTATCAGGGTAGGTTGATGGTTGGACCTGATGATCTTAAAGGTCCCTTCCAACCTTAGCGATTCTATGATTCTATGATTCTATCTATACCTGCTTGGGAAGCTTGTGTAGGGTGGCCATTCTGCACGCGTGAAAAATCTGCTTGTAGAGAGAATCTGGATGGAGGAGCAACTTTGGCAGGCAGTCCTCATCGTGGCTGAAATAAGATGAGTAGTCTGGTGTCAGAAAGGCTAGGCACCTGTGCTCAGCGCTGCAAATGTGAGATTTGGGCCATACCAAATCCATCACTGTTACTTATTCAGTGTAAAAATGCAGGCAGAACTTTGGGTTTCATGTCAACTGTAAAATTCAGGCTTTCTTTGTCTGTGTTTTGTCTGTATAAGTATGTAACTTGACAATCACACACTGATTGCACACAGTGAAAAGCTGCAAATTAAGAAATTACATTACTTTAATCTGCCATGCAAGGCATTTAATCAGTTTGGGGTTTGAAATCTGTGTTAGAGAAGTTTTATTTTGATTGATAATTCAGAGCATCAGAAAACTAAGAACTTTCTGTAAAGCTTTGCATTCATTTTAGAAAACAGAATTAGGCAAAGACGAGACATAACTAGTGCTAGTTTTGGCTATCATGGTGGAATCCCTCTGAGAAGTTATACTTTTTTTTTCTGGTCTCTTTTGAATCCGTGAAAACAGAGTCAGATTACAGAAAACACCACATCTCTAATCTTACAGTTGAAATATTTCTGAATTCATCGCATTCATCCCTCTCCAAAGATACTACGACCTTCAAGATACCTATTGCAGCTGCAAGCGCTTTGTCTCTACAGTCAATAATGACTCCCTTTTGTCTGCTGTCTTTCATACAAAGCACAACTTCATGAGGCTTTGACTCAAGCTTGTAGAATGTTTTAAATTAAATTAAGTTTCAAAAATTTCTAAAAAGCTTCCTGGATACAGTCTTTGTTGAGGACATCTAGTGTGGATGCTGCAATTGATACCAAAAGGCTCTACAAAGGCCTGCAAAAGATTTGGTTGTTCTTTTGTTGATGTGTTGTGGTAGTGTGGTGGTGTTGATGTGTTTCTCCACAACAGAACAGGACAAAGTAGCTTTCCAATTCCTTCTTTTCACCGGAAATACATGTAGTTTCATCCTTCTACAAAATAAAGCATCTATTCAGAGGCAAGCACAGTCAATCTAGACAAACATCTCTTATACGGTATTTTATTACTGTATCATGGAAATATCTTCAGAAAATTTTATTTTGTTTTTAATTATGGCTAGCTATTTTTTACAATGTAAGAGTTGTGCAGAAATAATGTTAATATATTCTCTTTGCTGAGTTAGAATTTCCTGCTTTGACTTGAAGCATGCCAGAGCCTAAGAGGTCTGACTTGACTACCAGGATTTTGTAAAGCTGTTTGTGAGCAGATAATCGCCCTAACTAAGTTCCTGTCATTATTTCCATTGATGCAAAACGGTTTGTGATGTCTTGAACGTGGACGAAGCTAGAAAGGGTGCAGCCTAATGAAATCAGTTTTGTTCTGTAGGAAGCATGCCCTGCATAAGTGGGTCTATGTGAAAGCTAGGGGAGATGCACTGATTATTTTCGGGGTTTGGAGTAGTGTGTAAAGGATGCTGCCAGCGCTGCCTCTAATCCTGCTTTTTGAAGCACAGCAGGGAGTCTGATATAGTTTCAAGGTCCTGTGCTAAGCATAAGATTAATTTCAAAGCAAGGTGGGATGTACAGTGAAGTTGTGGAATAAAGCATTAGTTTCCCATCAGGGATCAGGATGAAAACGTAGCCTTATCACAGAAATCACCGTTGCAGTTGCCATTTGGTGATTGTGTCTGAAGGGCTGAGATTTTTACGGCACGTGTTTGTGGTTACCGTAGCTGATGAAAAGGGATAGGGGTGTTTTGTCTGCACAGTTGCCTGTCCCCTATGAATGAACTCTGTTGAGTCTCCAGGAGCATTTGCATTGCTGGTCATATTTATAAACTTCAGAGATAGTAAAAGGACTTGCAGCTCGCTCCAGCTGTGACCCACACGGCCCCTACAGTCACAGGGGTGGCTGCACACAGAGTCTCATGTCATGGGGGCTTCGTGACAGCTGAGGAGCTCCATTCACCAGTTTTGCTGGACAGAGCAGCTCTCCAGGTTAACCTGTGAAACCTGCACGTCTCGCTGTAGTGCTGCGTTTGTACGCTGTTGGAAGCATTACTGGAAGTGCTGGTGGAGGTCTGCTGATGTAGTGAACACCACTGCGGTCTTAAGCAGAAAGGGGCAATTCAGAAACTTTGTGGGAATACCAGGATAGTATATGCAAGTGTGCTGGCCACCTAAAGTGGAGTTGCCCTTGGAGCTCCCAGTCCAGCGTGCTCCGTCTTTCATTAAAGTCACTCGTTGGTGGACATGGATTATATTAAAAGACCTGTGGTGACAGGGTTATGTGATGACATCAGAATATAAACTCCTCCTAAATAGTCTACTCAGACATGCATACTGTAAAGAAATATGGAATATTAGTGGCTCAGTTTAAATATAATTAGTCAATTAATCATTTAGGGCTAGGCCGCATTTGTGTACTGCTTATATAGCACTTACTCAGTGTCAGTAGCTGAAGCTGCTGAAGCCTTAGGTGGTGAAGCTGCAAGCTCTCACCTAGATAAGCCAAACTTGTTTTGAACTTCAGCTTCGTTACATAAAAGAAGACCCTGAGACCAGTACAAACCGGGAGGTACGGAATCCATGTAAGGAAGGCGCAGCGTCAGAAGGTGAGTGCAGTTAACAGCAGCCCCTGGAGACAGAGCAAGAATCCAATTGGGAATGAGACTATCCCAGACCACAAATCACTGTTGGACGTGAAGAACGCCTGAGGGCATGGATGGATGGATGGTAATGGGTGTCATTGCCCAGGCATTTCTTGGTTCTGGGCCCCTCTCCGGAGGAACCAGCCCGGGCCGTCCTCGCTGTCCCACTCCAAACAATTATTTATTTTTTTTTCCTTCTGGATTATTGCCTGAGGCTCTGCTACGGGGAAACTCGGGCCGAAGGAACTCCCGTAACACGTACAATAGAACCGCTGGGTACACGCAGTGCCGCCGCTCGGCCCGGTGGCAGAGGCTCTTGAATAATGCATTACTCATGATTAATTAATCAGGCCGAACGCCCCGAGCAGCACACCCCATTGGTCAGCGGGCCATTATTGACTGTGCTGGCGCTGCACGGTAATTGGCAGTGGCCGCCCGTTAGGGGCGGGGCGGAGAGTAAAGCCGGGATTGGTTGCTCAGGTCTGCCATTATTGGTCGCGCCTGTTGGCGGTGGGTGGGTCCGGCGGCGTTGATAGGTGGCGGCCGCGGGGCTGGGGGCCGCTGCCAAGCTTCATTGGCTGCCGCCGCTCGGCGAAAGGCG